GCGAAGGTCTATTTATGACATTTTACATTTCAAAAAGAGAAATCAGAAGCAAATAAACCAACATATTCTCAACTTAAATCTGAAAGAGGTGTACATTTTTTCTGTATATTTACATGATCCATTTGTTTTAAACTCCTGTGGTGTATCATAACGTTTGTTGTACTTTTTTAACTTTTGTCCTAAGTCGTAACTTAATGTCATGCATTATTACAACACCAGTGTGTAAGCATCTGTATATATGAGGTGCTTCATTTACTTATGTCAAAGCTCGGATGTCACATACAACCTCACATAAAGCAGGGGCCCAATGGACAATTCTTAGCTGGCTGACCGAAAGGCTCTTCTTCTTTGCTATAGATTGTTTCCTTCCTGATTTTGTCTGAAGTACTTCAATTTAATAGTTGATTTGACTATTAGGAATGGCAAACTATGGTAGTTTACAAGTAAGAAATAATACAAGTCAAGTCAAGATCTAAGGGATTTCTTGGAACACAGCCTAGTTTTTATCATTGCATGTCCTGGATAATGTTTTGTATTTCTGTGGTGCTTGGCAAACACATATTCGCTCCATTGTATCTACCTACCATGGAATGCATCCTGTGCTTGAATTTACTCCCATTTTATAATTTTGCTCATAATGTTAAAGTAACTTAATTTGTCTAAGTTGTTTTAGGTTCCTGTGCAAAAAGTCAGAATAAAGATAAAGATGTAAACATTGAAATTTGCACATACTTTTAGGTATAAAATATTATAACAGACATTTTTAGAAAACTATTTGGAAATTTTTGTTGGTGCTAATATGTACTTTTGAGAAAAACACGGAAGAGAAGTAATGTTGCCTCCCCCAGTGTGTGTGTGTGTGTATTTCAAAATATATCCTTTTCAATAATAAAACTACTATATGTGGCTCTATTACTTCTTAGATGTATGATATGAGCAGTGTGTGAAAGCAGACTGTTGGGATGTTTGCATTCAAAATGTGGATTGAAATATTTTAATATACTTTAAAATATTCCCTGCTATTTGGATGAAGAAATAAAGAATTTCTCTCAATGAAGGGCCTTCTCAGAGAGTAGTTAGAGAATGAATTGTAGAGTATAACCTTTGCATTGGTTTAATCCATGAATAGTAAAGTAAAATCAATATCTTTTTCTGTTTATAATGTATGTTGGATATTTAGAATTACAGGGCAAAACATTTAAAACAGTGACCCCTGCTATTTCCATATACAGTGAATGATCGGTTTAGAGAATTCACTGTTCCAGAGCATAATCAAATAATGTAAGTGCATTTTAAATAACAGTAAATTTTATGATTGTTAATACCAGTTAGTTAGTTTGCCAACATCTTAAGAAAGGACAGTTGATTCTGGGAATAAACCAAGCATTTAGGAGCTTTACATAGTCAGTGGCAGGAGTGAGGTTTGGTTATAAGTCTCTGTCCAGTATAGTTGTACAGTGATTGAGGCATGATTTTTATCAGTGGACATCTTGAGAACTATAGCCCCTCCAGATACTGTTTTACTGTTTTATACTCTTTGACCCAGTTATATCACTTACAGAATTTACTTTATGGAAATAAAGATGCAGATATTGAAGTTTGTTCATTGGTAGAGTGGTTAAATAGCCATCCATTATAGATGGTGTTTTTCAAAATTATTTAATGACAGATAAATGTACCTTATACAATACTAAGTGAAATAAAAGCAACATGTAACAATATACAATATTACTATTCTAATTTGAGAAAAACTTACTGGAAGAAAATATACCAAAATGTTAACAAGGGTTATATAAATGGTTTTTTATTTCTTCTTTATACTCCTTTTATGCTCTTTTTATACCCTTCATAGTCTTTTCTGTTTTCTGTAATGAGTTCGTATCTTTTCACAAGCAGTTTGAATGAAAGTGAAATGTTACCTTCTTTCCAGCATCATCTTCTGCCATTAATTACATGTGTTTTCCACCAAACACTGAATTGATTTTATGTAGAAAACTGTCTATATTTGGCTTCATTTTTTAAGTAAATTTAGAAACTGTAGTGTGTGTGTGTGTGTGTGTGTGTGTGTGTGTGTGTTGAGGAGAGAGCATTTCTATGGTATCGGTGAAAGGATAAATAAAATAATAAACATTTCATTTTATTTGACCCCCTTTTACACAACTGTTATATACAATAAATTCCATTTATGAGATGTTAGGGGGAAAAGCTAATGAATTTCTTTATTCAAGATGGTATAAATGTACTAGTTTTAAATTTGAACTTGTAGTCATATCAGTGGACAATTTTGAACCAAGCAAGACCTTTTATAAAATCAGGTAAGATTTTAACACTTAGGATGCGATAAACAAAATGTATGTGGAGCTCCGAGTATAGAGTGCAACATAGCATGAAGCACTGCCCGGAACCTCTTGAGGTGTGAGCAGCCTTACCCTCTTCCTGGATGCAGTTTGTGCTGCGAGCAGTTTCCTGCCAGGGTTTGCTCTTTCCCTTGTGCCATAGTGTACTGAGTGTACTGAGAGTACCACACCTAGAAGAGTCACCTGCTGTGACCTATACTAATATATTCTAGCCCACCATTTCCCGTATTCCGTTGACTTTGCAGTTACTCCTCAATAGTGAGATTTACGGTATCAGAAAGTGCCTGTTCCTTTACAACTCTGTTCCTCCATTAAAAACAAAAATGTAATACCCTTAAGAATCTTTCTCCTCAGTAGCCTATGACACTTTCAGGTAATTTCCCCCCTGTAAGACAAATATGAAAGCTGGTATTTTCTTTTTTCAATGGGCAACCAAGAAATAGGTTTGGTTTACACACATAGTTATAACTCAGGGTGCATCTTTCAGCATAGTGATTAAAATGGTCACTTTTCCTCCCCCGGTGCCCCTTCATGATTCCTCTTGCTTTTGTAAGAAACTTAGGTGAAAAGCACATATTTTTAATGTTAATGATTTGTACTCTGTTGGTTATTGCCTGGTATTGTGTCCCTTTTTGAAGCCTTTAGTTCAATGTCGGGACAATGTTTTATTAAAAAATGTGATCCTACAGATTCGAAAGTGTCCTCAGAGTTAAAAGCAGGCCTGAGTCATTCAGAAGACCTTTCTGTATGACGTGTTTGCATTGAGGACTCTGTATTTTACTTTACTAATAGCTTTTTATAGACCTGAATTAGACCTGAGTTATTTAGCCTAGTAGTACTTAGTGCTTAGCATTTCCATTTCCTTTCCAGCCCTTAGATTCTTCTCTTCCAACTGAAAAAGGAAAAAGAAAAAAAGATTTGCAATGTTTCAGTTTAAAACATGGTTCTGCTTACAAATTACTGTTGGTTCAGGAGAACTAAATAAAGGGGGGGGGCGTGATTGGTATTTGGTGACAAATGTTTGTCCCACTTTGGATTTGAAATTACCACCCATAGGGAAGAGCTGGTGAGCAACTAGATAGGTTCGTTAGGAAAAGGTAAGTGAAGGAGGAGATTCGGAGGAGGCATTCTGCTACCAGCAACTGCCAAGTATTGTAGTCTCTGGTATTAGAAGCCCAATTAAAATGTGTCCCTGGGTTTCAGAGGGCAGTACAGTTGGTGGTCTAGTGTCAGTCATCTTGGCACTTTTGTTTAACCTCAACACATTGACATTTCTAGCTCATCCATGTTCTCTCACTGTCTCTGCTCTCTGCTCCCTCCCTAGCTTCCCCTTCTCCTTTCCTTTCCTGACAATGTCTGCAGGGTGGTAAGAAAGAAATTTGGAACCGAGAAGTGAGGGACTGGGAGGAGGAAGATCTATTTTTTACTCTCTGGGTTCTTGCTATTCTGTTCCAGAATATACCTCCCCCCAGGCAATTGGGATTCCCAGTTTGAAAAAC